GTAGGACCGGAAGGTCTACCGGGATTCGGGATGGAAGTACATAATACAACATGCATATAGGATAACATATGCACCTAAAGGCACATGTAATGTGCATAATACAAAATTTATCTTACAGAAATATAATTGAGTGGTTGAATGAAATAAAAACACCTTATTTCCATTCGTTAGACAAGATGAAGAATATATTTTATTATTATTCAATAAGTTTTAAAAAATATTCAAGTAAAATAACAAATTAGGTAATAAAATAAGTTATTATTATTATTGTTATTGGAATTAATATGATGATAAAAAACATGATAAATGAATTAAAATTTTGATTGAGTTTTAATAATGAAACAAATTATTTATATATATTTTTGGTGTGTGAGAAACTAATCATCATTTATAAAAGTTGATAGACACTAATAAAAATACACTAATTAAAATACCCTCAAAAATAGAATACATTAAAATAAAAAAAAATTAGCGGGATTACTTTCTTTGTTTTCCTGCCAAAAGTCTTCTGGTCTTCTACACATGTCTTTTATGTTATCCTCTTAGCGTACTAAACAACGCACCTATCTCATCTTCATCCTTATCACTCCTCCCTATCTTCAAAACCTCCCACAACGATCATCTCATCTGAGACTTTTTTACAAAACAGTCAATTCCCTATTTGAAATTGAATATGTCATATTTTACATCTTTTTCCCCTATAAGCCCAACTAGATATCAATGAGTTCACAACATCCCCGAATGTAAGACTCCCCTGTTTTGCAACCTTCCACCTCTTGACTCCAAAGGCTCCTAAAATTTCCATCATGGACGCATCTTGGATCAAAGGGAAAGAAAATTGAATTGGATAGATGAGCGACGGATAGAGATGAAGAAATCGAGAGGGATAGAGAGAGATAAGCGAACATGTGTTAAAATACAACCACTTGAGTAATAGGTTTAAGGCTTCCAGAAAATGTGAATTCGTGTATAAAATGGTTCAATCGTTACACATATCTCTCTTATCTTTTGTTGACTGCCAGGAAATTGTGACTCCACGCATCCATCAGTGCTCTTTTTGCTACTGTTAAGCGATACTTTAGTCAGGGGAAGGAGTGAGTAATTTTGGGGCGATTTCAACCGCAAACATTTAAGGCTGACTCTGGTAATGGGATTAGCTAAATTGTCACTCTCATGTTATTATATAATATTAACATTTGAATACAATTATTAAATTTCAGCTTTATTTGAATATTTATTTGTTTTTCGTTGTTGCAGGTTCTTCCAGGGTTCGGAGAAAGAAAAAGGAAAAAAGAAGGAAATTAAATCGCCAATTTCAGCAATTAAGTTTGTCACCTTATCATCGTTTTCCTCTAGGACTCCCCTATTTGACAGTTCTCTTGAGCCAGGCACCAACTTCAAGTCATCTATAGTAGGTGATGGACAACAAGTACCTGATGTCTAGATGTACGAGAAATCTTGTCCATTCGAATGTGTTCATATGCCATGGAAAATCTCACTTTGGTAATCATTAATCACTTGCTATAGTTCTTTATTAGCCCCATATATCATAAAATTCTTGTTTTGAGGGCTTTTGTTTCTTGATTGTTTGTCATTTATATATGTCAGAGGATTTTATAATTTGTATAGGATGTGTTTATGGTTAATACCCAAGAGCTATAGACTCTTATGTTATGACTCTTAGCAATAACAACAAATGTGCAAATGTTCACATTTGTTTCTCATATTCTTTCTTAGCCAACTTTATAGCGCTTTAATGCTTATACAATTAATTATGCATGTATTTGATGTTCTACCAGGAAATCATGCACAACTAAAGGTTCCCTATTTGGTAGCACTCTAGCAGGAAGTCATCTTTGGTAGCACCGTAGCAGCATAAACAAACAAAATCTATATATGATTATCTATCTAGTGCAAAGCTCAAAGCAACCCTAGATGTTTAAATGTACGTTATCATTATATAGTGGAATCATACAATATGATAAAGCTAATAAAAGCAAACAGTAGGATTAGAGATACATACCAAAACTTAAGGAAGAATATCTGATGTAAAAGCTCAAAGCATTCCTAGACCATTCATGTGAGGTCTCTTAATTTTCTGCATACATAAGCAAAAAAAAATCTACATCAACATATAGTATCAATATCATTTAATTAAGTTGATTTGCAACGAAGGTGAAGCTATTGATAAACACTACATTATGATTAGAGATACATACCAAGAACTAAGGAAAAAGAATACTTGTTGTAGCTTACAATCTCCTTCCTGTTTCTATGGTGTGTCTGAGTTTCTACCTGATACAATAAAATTGGTTTCAATATGTGTCATCTTTAATGTGGTGGAATTGCAGATGAAGTGTAAAGATATTAAAACTAAACAATTAAATGTATTAGATACATACCAAATTTTCTTCTCGTATGTTGATGGAGTGATAATTGCCTTCTTCCTCTGATCTTCTTGAATGTTGTGGGATAATTTTTGTGTGGGTTGATGGTGACATACAATATATAGACATAAACTAAATACTCCCTAGAAGTAATGAAAATTATCCTCTTATTTATTTTAACATTATTTGATATTCTGATGAGCATTTTTGGTTCGTGATTTTTTAAGATGATAATCTTATTTATTGTTTGTTTGTTTTATATGATAATCTTATTTTCTTTTTAGTGATAATCTTAAAATTTAGCTTTAAATTAATATAGATTAATATTTGTATTTGGTTATTGGAAATCTGATAAGATTTCACATTTGTATCTCCTGATAACTTTATTTGGTGTTGCAAATAGGGAATAGAATCAAAACGTAAGCTACAAAAAAACCCGGTTACTGAAAAACGGGTTCTACGACCCTCTCGTATTCTATATCTCATCATTATATGGCTCAGTTCTGTTATGAAAAATGGGTTGTATTGGTTTTTGCTAAAAGTCCTGGTTATATTGACAGAAACCGGGCAATTTAGTTACACATTAGAGTCGGTTCCTTAATGTAAACTAGGTCTTATAAGTTTTCAATCCATTAAGCCTGGTTTTTGAATATTAGAAGCCAGTTTTTTCAAAAATCGGGTCTTATAACCTGCTTCATATGCGTCTTTTTGTAGTAGTGTTAGATACTCACAAGTCACGAACGAAGAATACATCCACTTTGTATGAATATTTTCATTTTTCAATTTTAGGTCGATGTTAATGACTTTATGAACTTTTGTTGAAAACCACTTTTTTATGTTAATTACTTTAGTCACTTTATAATTTTATGTTGAAAAAAACTCATTTTTAAAAATGCATTGTTTATTTATTGAACGGGTTGGATTCGACTCACTCCCACTAACTTGTGACCGCTAAAACCCATATACTTAAACAAGTTATATGGTTGGATTAGGTTCATGTTTCCAATCACCAACCTGTGGTTTGTCAACCCATATTTTATGGGTTGGGTTGAGTTTATGTATTATGATCCACCAACCTGTCAAATTGTGACCAGCCAACCTGAATCCAACTTAATTCCATGCCTAATAACATCAAATCCCTTCGTAGAAACAAATGGTGCACATCAGTAATTACTTAGCTAGAAAAGAACATTGTAGCTTATACGAATTGGTAGACAATATCTCCCTTACTATCACAATAAATACCACCCTCACCTTCATGAGAGATATCAATAAGTAATCTTACTTTCCCTTTTATCATTCCCAGATATATCTCATCATATTTTTTAAGTTTATAACCTCTAACATATGCATCAAAGAACCTGTTATCAACTATGCTATTAACTAACATCTGCTCCAAATCTTCATCGAAACTTAATCCAAAACTTGTCAAATTACGGGATTTGTTTATAATCACCATTATATCGGAAGAAATGATGCATTTTGGTGTCAATTTTCCAAAGCTTTTGAAAAAAAAAAATTGGCACAAGTAGCATGTTATGGGAGGATGTGGTTTGGGGACTCTCCTCTTAGAAGTAAAAAATATCCAAGATTATGTATGGTCGAGACGGATTATTTATTTATTTATTTTTATTTTTTTTGGTTTTTCCTCATAGGGTGGAAAGTATTAGCGTAGCATGTATGTATGTATATTACCTTAGGCCCAAGTATTGTATTTGTATTTTAACCTAGTCCATTGTACTGTAGCCTGCTATGAATGATTCAGGTTATATTAATGAATCATAGACCAAAAGGCGATTAAGGGAAAATAACGTTATTTCATGGTATCAGAGCGCCTCCCGGTTTTTTTTGTCTAAACCTATCGCCTTCTTCTTCTTGCTCTCGGCAATTTTGTGCTCTGCTTCTCCCCTCTTTCAATCGCTCCTCTCTAATCTATCTCAAAAATATCTGAATCATCCAAGAACACCAAACCTTTTGGTGTAACCAACATTAAAGTCTACATTCCACTGATTTTGGATCTTCATAAGTTGAATTATGATGCTTGGAAAGAACTCTTCAAGACCCATTGCAATAGTTTTGGAGTTAAAGGTCATCTCACATGCACTTCTAAACCCACAGATGCCAACGATGTAGCTCGGTCCAATCTTGACGATCTCGTCAAGATGTGGATCTATGGAACTGTCACTCAAAGTCTTCTCAACATGATCCTCAAACCAGGTGCTACTGCTCATACCATATGGACTGATCTTGAAGCTCTTTTCAGAGATAACAAACAAACTAGGGCAATTGAGCTTGATTAGGAACTTTGAACCCTAACTCTAGGCGATCTATTCATCTTTGATTATTGTGAAAGAATGAAGGTGATTTCAAATTTAGTCACAAACATAGGCTCATCGGTGTCTGAACAAACATTGGTTACATATCTCATTAATGGATTGTCACTAAAGTTTGACAACATTGCCACTGTCTTGCGACATCAAGACCCGCTTCCATCTCTTCTAAAATACAGGTCGATTCTTACCTTGGAGGAGCAAACCATGAGTCGAAATCGACATACCCAACCTCTCCATATGGATCATGCATCGTCACCTCAAGCTCTTCATGCTGGAAACCCTAACCCCTCAAACTCACGCAACATGACCTTCTCACAAAACAACTGAGGTGGTTGTCGCTCTTCACAACCACGTCGCGGTTGCTCCTACTCAACTGATAATCGACGCCCATCTGGAACCACCACCACAATACCATTGCTGCCATCGGGTTTTCCATGGCTTCCATACCTGGTCTCGTGGAATCTGTACACCTGGTCATATCCTTCCTGGAAATAGCTCATGCGACCACCGACGTCCACTACTTACCAACCAATGAGAAACCAGCAGCCCGAAGTCCTCGGTACTGCTCCAAACTCGGGTCTACCGACTCAACAACCCCCTGCAGCAGCCTTCTTTGCTGCCCCTCCACATCAGAATCTTGTTCCTCCAGCTCAATGGTTTCCCCCGCTGAACTCGAATGAGCCTACAGATATCATACAAGCCTTGAACTCGATGCACATAAATGATGGCTTGGATACTCAGTGGTACATGGACATAGGAGCTACCACTCATCTTGCCTCGGATACATGTAAACTCACTACATTTGGCAAAAAAATTTCATACAAATCACGTTCTTGTTGCCAATGGTTCTTCCATACATGTTCATCAACCTGGCCATACCCAATTAAAATCCTTGCATCGTCCCTTGCACCTTCGTAATGTATTAGTCACACCTACTATTATCAAAAACCTCATATATGTTCGTCATTTTACAACTGATAATCTTGTTTCTATTGAATTTGATTCGTGTGGTTTTTCTGTGAAGGATCTCAAAACTCATCAACTTCTGCTTAGGTGTGACAGCTCCAGTGACCTCTACCCAGTCATTCCCTCGACACAAGTTTCTCTTCTTTCTGGTTCTACTTCCTTGTAGCATCAACGTCTCGGTTACCCTAGAGCTCATGCTTTAAATCATTTAGTTTCCAATAAATTAATTACATGTAATAGAAGTTCTAGTACTGTTTCTCGCCAAGCTTGTCAGCTTGGAAAATCTATCCGCTTACCTTTTGAAAATCTATCCTATGTTATCCTCTCATTCCTACTCCGCACAAACTTGCCCCCCGTTCTACCCCTTGTATCTTCATTGGCTACCCATCTCATCACCATTGCTATCGTTGTTTTGACCTCGCCACTCGAAAATTATTATTTCCCGTCATGTCACCTTTGATGAAGACTCTTTTCCTTTTCGCTCCATGACACCAAATCACCCCATACTACTCATTTCTCGACGACAATGAACCATCCTTTATTTATCATGAGTTTCTCACCTATCAACACTCTTAATCCACCACCACTACTCACGAATCTACGAGTGGTGCTTCTCCCACATCACCCTCAGTTTCTTCTCCGCATGACTCTCCTGAGTTATCTCCTGAAACCACCAATAACCATCCTTTCCCAAGTCATCCCATGGTCACTAGAGGTCGTCTTGGTATCTGAAAAACTATTTCTCATCTCAACCTTCACACTACCACTGAATCACCCCTACCTCGATCTCACTTTCAAACACTTCAAGATCCAAATTGGACCATTGCCATGCAAGACGAGTTTAACGCTCTTATTGCCAACAAAACGTGGGTTCTTGTCCCGCGGCCTACTGGGGCAAATGTTGTTCACTCGATGTGGTTATTTTGTAAAAATATAAAGCGGATGGTTCTCGTTATAAAGCTCGGTTACTTGCAAACAGAAAAAGCCAACAACCGGGCATTGATTGTGCTGAGACATTTAGCCCAACTGTGAAACCTACTACTATACGCACAGTCCTTAGTCTTGCGTTTTCACACAAGTGGCATATTCACCAGTTAGATGTAAAAAATGCTTTCTTACACGACCATCTCAATGAGACAGTTTACATGCATCAACCTTCGGGGTTCCAAGACTCAAATAATCTAGATTATGTCCGTCTTATACAAAAGTCCATTTATGGATTGAAACAAGCCCCACGGGTATGGTTTCAACGGTTTGCAACGTTTATTACTCAAATTGGATTTACTCACAGCCGTTGCGACTCTTCTTTATTTATCTTTCGTAGTGAAACACAAGCTGCTTATTTATTGTTGTACGTTGATGATATTATTCTAACAGCTTCCTATGCAACAGTTCTTCAGCAGACTATGTCTCTCTTGGCTACTGAATTTGCCATAAAGGACCTAGGCAATCTTTCCTATTATTTAAGTGTTGCAGCTACACGCAATGATCATGGCATATTCCTATCACAACGCAAGTATGCGCATGAGCTTCTTGATCGCGCCAACATGTCCAACTGCAATCCCTGCCGAACTCCAGCTGACACGCAATCTAAACTTCATTGTGTTGGCGATCCTGTTTCAAACCCTACTTTATATTGAAGTCTCACATTCACCTGCCCAGACTTATCCTATGCAATACGACAGATATGTCTATTTATGCATGACCCTCGAGAACCGCACATGAAAGCTTTAAAACGCAATCTTTGATATGTTCGCGATACTCTTGACTATGGACTACAGCTTCAACCCTCCTCAACCACCGGTCTTATTACCTACTCTGATGCAGATTGGGGGGAATGTCCATCCACTTGTCGGTCAACTAGTGCATATTGTGTGTTTCTCAGTGACAATCATTTATCATGGTCATCAAAAAGGCAACCGATTGTGTCACGTTCTACTGCTGAAGCAGAATACCGAGGTGTTGCCAATGCTGTCGTCGAAACTTGTTGGCTATGCAATCTTTTACGTGAGCTACACTCTCCAGTTACTAAAGCAACTATTGTCTATTGTGATAACATTAGTGCAATCTACATATCTTGTAATCTGGTCCAGCATCAACACACCAAACACATAGAGATTGATCTTCATTTTGTGCGTGACAAAGTTGCTACTGGATCTATTCGAGTTCTTCATGTACCATCCAACCTTCAGTATGCTAACATCTTCACCAAAGGTCTACCATCTACTCTGTTTACTGAGTTTAGATCCAGTTTGATTGTCCGTGCTCAACCTCCCGCTCAAACTGCTGGGGTGTATTAGTGTAGCATGTTTGTACGTATATTACCTTTAGGCCCAAGTATTATATTTTTAATTTAACCTAGTCCATTGTATTGTAGCACACTATGAATTATTCAAATTATATTAATGAAATCATAGACCAAAAGGCGATTGAGGGAAAATAACGTTATTTCAGAAATAGCAACTAAAGGGCCCTTTTTGTGATGGTGGAACTGGAAGTAGAGGCTGAGAAAAGGAACGAGGAAAGATAATTTGTAGATTTGATTAATTTGGTTCATAATTCTTTTCAGATTTTTAATTCTGATGTCTCTTGGAATTAAATGGTGGATCGGATTTCATTTTTTTGTGAAATATTTTCGAGTATTACTAATACAATCCTACGTACATCTTCTCAACCTTTTCTATTCTTGTAGATTAGTTAGCTATAAATTAAGGTTAACACTTTTATCTGGAGAATGATGTTGAAAATAATTCCTTTAGCACCCAACTTAGCGCAAAGAGGAGTCTCAATACATCATCGAGTGTGCATTATGTAATGGCGCTGATGAAGATCTCGAGCACCTGTTTTCCGTATGCAATGGAAATGTAGAAGTGGGTTGCGAAGTGGATTGGAATGTATATGTGGCCCAAAAACTCATTCGAAGATTAGATGAAGGTGGTGATAGTTTCTAGGGGCCCAATCTCAGAAGACGCTATGGGATTAATGCTATATTTGGGGCCACGTTATGGACCTTATGGAAGACTAGACATGATACTATCTTTAAGAAATGAAAATTTGCAAAGGCACTTTCGAAGATGATATTCAAATGGCTTTATATTCATCGACTAAAAATAGGGGGGGAAATCAATGTCTAGATTGGCTAGTTTGGCTCTTATTCCCGTTGATTGCTTGTAATGTGTAAAAATGGTTGCTTGATGGCAATTTGTAGGTAGCATCTTTCTTTTTTCTTGTCGTTAAGAATATTAGCCGTTCAATAAAAAAAATAGTATCATTTTGCATTTTAGAAACTAGGGCCCGACGAGACAAACAGAGATTTATTGACCATTTCATATGGCAATTTAACCCAAATTTTATGTCTAAGTTAATTTTGCAATGGTCAAATACCCTCAAACCCTCAAACTGAATATAAAACCGATAAATATTACTCTGGTCAAATACCCTCAAAATAACTTCACACAAATTACCACCACGTGATTGTAAGTGCATATGAATATAATAACACAACAGAGTGAATGAACTTGATAGTAACTGATGGTTGGGTTAGCCCTTTGGGTTTAATAATTATTTAACATGGTATGGAGAAAGTGTAAGTTTGTGTCCACTCTTCTCTGTTTAACCACATGACATTCTTTCTACACTTTGTATCTAATTTAGCATCAATCAGGAAATGGATAGCCTATACTCATATGCTTCTTAACTTGTAGCCAAATTTGTATCTAAAGTCCCCCACCTAGCTACAACACCTACTTTTAACATACTCTCTCTCTCTCTCTCTCTCTCTCTCTCTCTCTCTCTCTCTCTCTCTCTCTCTCTCTCTCTCTCTCTCTCTCTCAATCAAGTGTGTTGACGTGTATATATATATATATATATATATATATATATATATATATATATATATATATATAATTTGCAGATCTCAAGAACATGTGAGGAAACAATAAATATGTTTTCATTCTTTTCATAGGGGAATTACATCAGAAACATACCATTGTCCCCTCTGAATTGATGGCCCTAAATCTAGCAATATTTAGGTTTACTCACTTACTCTTGGTCTAGAAACCAACATATTTACATTGATTAATCACATTACGCTTCTTACCTTGCTTACCATAAATTGGGGCAAAACCAATGATGGGGGAGGAGAGGATGAAGATGAAAGGAAATTTGGAACGAAGGCTTCAAGGTACTCGGTTTGAGAAGTTGCAGGTGGATCCAAGTCCTGAGAGTTCACAATTGGTTGTGTAGTTATACTAGTGGTCAATTCGATGTTATTTGTTTGTTCACCTAGTTTAAATGGGATTACGGAATCGCCATGATCGGAGGTTTGGGCAAGGATGAGGTCGTAATTCTCTGATTTTAGGGTATTATGTTCGTAGGAGTTCATCAAGAATTCCATTGTAGGGAACTGATGATCAAAAACTGAAGATGAGTTGACTATGAATGATTGAGGAAGGGGAGGAAGATTAGGGGTAGGGTCAATATCGAAGCATTTATCAAGATTGACCACCGGTGGTTGACCAATGGCCGCTGGTGATGCATGGACAAGATGATCATGATCGTGGTTCATGTGGGGTTGATATGGGCTGACCACGTGAGGGTTTGCATCAAATAAACTCTCATAATATTGATTTTCACCACTTAAAGAAGCATGAATGTTGGTGGTTTTAGGGTTTGTAAAGATGGTGGCAAGAGAATGAGTAGAAAGGTGGCTATGAGCAAGAAGCTTCTTTTTTATACTAGAGTTCCAGAAGTTCTTAACCTCGTTGTCTGTTCTTCCTGGTAAATGTTTTGCAATTTGTGCCCATCTGTAGAACCGAAACAAATGTATATTAAAAAAAAATTAATTAGAAGCTTAATGAGCTTCATATATTATACATTAAAATCATGAAAAATATATTTTATGTCTACCTATTTCCAAGAATTCGGTGTAAGTCGACTATGAGGGTGGCTTCCTGGGATGAAAAGCTTCCTCGCTTCAAATCCGGCCTTAGATAATTAATCCATCGTAATCTGCAACTCTTTCCGCATCTTTGGAGCCCTTCTTAAAGGAAAATCCATAAAAATAACAATGTAGTGATTCACAAAATAAAATCAAACGAAACTCATTAATAATTATTAAATAAACAAATTAAAGATAAAAACCGAACGTATATATAACTAATATTACTGGTTGGCTCTCTTGTACATAAACACAGAAGTACTTGGGTATAAGATATATACGCATGACGAATGAAAGATTCAAATTTTCATGTCAGGAACGGAGATGACTAAAAAACACGGGGGAGAGAGAGAGAGAGAGAGAGAGAGAGAGAGAGAGAGAGAGAGAGAGAGAGAGAGAGAGAGAGACCAGCAAGCTTAGGAACGGAGCTCCAGCAGCCATGGCCATGGGAAGTAATGTAGTTGACGAGTTTCTCGTCTTCTTCAGGTGACCACAGCCCTCTTTTCACTTTCTGTTTGTTGCAACAAGTATGTCCGCCTCCATGCCCCATTTCTCTCTAGAACTATGAAGAGAGGCAATGACTAACTAGAAATTTTCAGCAGCACGACAGCATGCAATATACACACAGCCAATCACAGTCTTGTTCTGAAAGTCAGATCGATAAGATCATGATATCAAACTGACTGCAGTGCAAAATAGAGGCTCGTAACTCGTAAGTCGTAAGAGAGAGAGAGAGAGAGAGAGAGAGAGAGAGAGAGAGAGAGAGAGAGAGAGAAAAGAGCAGGAAGAGAAAGAGGTTGTCTGAGCCCTTATATTTGGTCCTACATTTGTCTTTTTATATAACAAAAGCTTTTTCATACATTTAGAAGTCCTTTAAAGAAATCGTTTGATTATTATTTAAATTAGTTGTGTATGTTAATTTAAAAAAAAAAAAAAAAAAAACGTTAAATATAAAAATATAAGTTTGAAATTATAATAAAATAAGAAAAATAATAAATTATTATAATAGAAATATTTTTTATCTAATAAATTCAAATAAATGAACAAAATTAATTAGATTTAATTTTAAGAATTTTAAAATTAAGTAGTAAGTTTATTAATGAAATTAATATTCATTTATTATTATACTTATTATAGTTATTATATTAAAATATTATGTAAAATTTAATAAAATAAAAAAACTTATAAAATAACATTAATTTTTTTTTTGACAAATTGAATAATATTACGACAAATACTAAAAAATATCATTTATTAGATAGGATATGAACACAAATATAATTTAAATATATTGCATTCACTAATATTGCACTCACTAGCGATTAATGGACACAGTGCAACTAATTGTAGTCTACATTAATTTATATGAGTTGTATATATATAAAGAAGATAGAAAATTTAAAATTTTATTATTTAATAATTATATTTGAAAATTCAATATCAATAATAAAACTATTTAATTATCATTTCTTAATTAATTATTATCGTACAACATAATTTTTGATCTATACATATAATGAACAACAAAAAGTATAAGAAAATAAATATTATAATTTTTAATAAAATAAAAATTTACAACATCTATTATTATATTTGTATTAAGAAAAACTTTTTAAATGCTTACAAATCATATAATAATATATAAAATTCAACATACATTTAATATATAAAAAACAATATTGTCTTAAGATTCGACAAAACTAGTTTTTAACTCTTCGTATTTAAATTAAAAATCTCTTCAAATATTTGAATGATTTTTTTAGCAAACCTTACTTATATACTATTAAACATTGCAAAGTTAACACATAGTTTTCATGAATGTGTATGACTTTGTGTATATATGATGTGTATTTGTATGTGTATGATGCATGATGTGTTTTTCCATATGTTTTCGCTTGTATATGTGTATTTGTGTGCAATGAAAAAAAAACTAGGATACTATATTGTGTTTGTGTCTTTGTATGTGTATTCGTGTATTATTTGTCTATATGAATTTGTATGTGTATTATTTATGTATGTGTTTGTTTATGACTTTATAAATTATATATGTCATTTGTGTATATATGTATGGAAAAAAAGTAAGTTGTTATAATGGAAAAAAGGTATGATGCTATAATGAATATGTAATATATGTATGAAGCATGTTTAAGTGTATTTTTATGTACAATGTGTGTATTTATGTATGTAATGTGTGGAAAAAATGAAAAAAAAAATCTGATGCTATAATGTATATTTAGTATGTGTAGGATGTATGTTTCAATGTTTTTTTCAGTGTTGTAACGTTTATGATGTATGAAAAAATGTATGTATAATGAATATATGTATGGAAAATTTTGAAAAAAGGTAGGATGCAATAATGAATATGTAATATGTTTAACCGATATGAACCATTAAACATAACCATTAACCAATTAAAACCATTACCCAAAACCAATATTAACCGTTACTCAATGGTTATCAAAATACATTAATCAGTTGTAATGGTTATGATTTGGTTTTGACCAATAACTAAACCAAACCGCCCCATACACACCTCTAGGGTTTATCTAAAAAATCGAGATATGAAAGTTGATACGGGAAAACAAGGGAAAGGCTGTGGATTTGGATTTCGACAGTGAAATCACATATTCCCCTATTGAGAAGTCTGCTAATTGGTTTATCCATGAGATTGGGACAATGTTTTCCCCGCTTTAACGAATGCAACAGTCATACATTTAAATGTAACTTGGATAATATTTTTAGTTTAGTTGTGATTTGTATTTATTTAACTAACTTTTTTATTTCTAAAATAAGTTTGATTTGAATAAGGTTAACTTGGATCCTGAGCATGCTCAGTTGTTAAGAAGCATTTATACGACTCTTGAAAAAGTTTATAGAGGCCGAAAAAGTACAACCCATACTTATTTTAGGGATATCGGGGGGCCTTCAGATATCCTAATGGCACTAACCCCCCAACCCCCCCCCCCCCCCCCCTTCCCTTTCCCCCTCAAGGGTATGTCACGTGAAAAGTAGGAGCAAGCAGTAAAAGATTTTCAAGTGCCTAACTTTTTAAAGCATTCGGTGTCAAATATAAAAGTTTGTGCAAAACAACAAGTTGTAAATAGAGGGGTCAAGCTTGTATAGTAATGTCTATTTCAAAGAAGTAATTTATGATATATTCAATTTTTTAAAGTATGATTAATCTGATATTTAATGTTAAATAGGATATCACTCGAATCGAAGCACGTTTTAAGGTTAATACCAATCGCCAAGGGGTATTTAGTAGTCTTACAGTCGAGCAACAATACGTAAGTGGTTAACTTGTATTTTCATATAAGTGTTTAAATCGCCAATGGGTATTTAGTAATCTAATTTTTATCATTTTTTTTAAATACAGAATGCTTTACCCCAGGAGATAAATTAACAAACTCAAGGTTATTATAAAGCAAACGCTCTAACAACAAGTGATATAAAAAAATATTTTAAAGAATATTGGGTGTTTCACGCAGATATATCAGGGACAATGGGCATAAACCTTCTACGGTTGTGTATATATATGATCAGGAACAATCAGTGACACAACAACCACCATAATCACAGGTAATTGTTAGTTTAAGTTGAAAACTATAATGATATAATGGGAAAATAAAAAAAAAGTAAGATGCTATAATGATATGTTGGTAATTGTTTGTTTAGTATATAGTAAAACGTTATACTGGAAAGTAGAATGTTATGATGATATGTTGGTTATGGTTTGATATTTTGATAATTTTTGGAAAGTACAATGCTACAAATGGAAAAATGAAAAAAAAAATACAATGTTATAATGAATATGAAAATATTGTGTATCATGTAGTTTGGTTTTAATTTGATATGTTGGTATTTTATATATTGGTAATTTTTTTTAAGTTCAATGCTAGAATGGAAAAAAAAAGTACAGTGTTATAATATATATGCAATATTGTGTATCATGTAGTTTGGTTATAATTTAATATGTTGGTATTTGTAGTTTGGTAATTATTTGGAAATTACAATCCTATAATGGAAAAATGTAAAAAAAAAAAAAGTATAATGCTATAAGATGTATATAAAATATTTTGTATCATGTAGTTTGGTTACAGTTTGATTTCTTGGTATTTTGTAGTTTGATATTTTTTGGAAAGTATAATGCTATAATGTATATATTGTGTATGATGTATGTGTAATGTGTAAGTGTATTTGAAAAGTAGAATGCTATAATGATGTGTTGGTATTTTTTATTTTGGTAATTTTTGGAAAGTACAATGCTATTATAATATGCTGGTAATAAATTTCGCTTTCTTTGTAGTTGGAAATTCTGCAAACAATACTAAAGGACCCAACCAGTTATGCGGCACTTGAAGACTAGTTTCGCTCATTACCCCCACAAAATGATAACGAAGGAAGCGATGGGCATAATGAGGACGAGTAGTTATTTTTTTAGGATTTTATGAAATTTTTATTTGAGTTAATATTTTGGATATATTATTGCACTTTGTTTGGATGAATATTTGTTGTGTAAGGACTAATATTTTGGATTAATGTTTCTGCAAAATTAGGATTCGTAGTAGTTTTCATGCATGTTATAGCAGTTTTTATAAGTTTAATATTAAGTAAAAAAAAAAGGAAAATATTTTAGCGGCAACACTTAGGTATTAGTGGCGACAAAGCATTCGTTGCGATATGCATTAGCAGTGAGAGATAGTATTAGCGGCGACGTATGAAATATTAACAACGAGGCAACAACGTTGACCTTTTTTCCACGAAACGTCGTCGCTAGTAGCTTTAGCGGCAACAACCGCACTCTTGAGCGGCGTCCCATGTCACCGCTAATAGTTGTCATTCTTGTAGTGTAATATATGTAGCAAAATGTATAAATGAGAGTAAAACAAAAGTCAATACTCGTTACTAATTAATAATAGTGGATACAAATCCGATAAAAACTATTTTTTGGTAAAAGTGTAAGAAGTTTATTATGCATAGTTTTTGGAGAAAAAAAAGATTAATCATTAGAGTAATCAAAAATAACATCACTCAAAAGAAAAACTTCAAAAAAACATCATTGTGAATATTTCTTTGTGATGATTTTGTTGTTGTTTACTAAAATTATCATAAAAGTGATTTTTTGCTTAATTTATTAAAAAATAAATCATGATGGTGTTTTTTTGAAGAATTGTTTCTTTTAAATCATCTTATTCTTCTAATAAATCATTTTGTTGGTTCGTTAAAAAAATATGTATATAAAAAATTTCTTACCTTCCTACCAAAAATTTCATTTTTCTTTGATCCTGATTCAACAAAATTGTTTTTTAAGTCTTCATATTTGAATTAAAAATTTCTTCAAACATATGAATGGTTTTATTAGAAAAACTTACTTTTATATTACTAATATAAATAGCAAAATCTATAAATAAAAGGAAAACAAAAGTGATTATTCATTACTAATTAATAATCATAAATAAAGAACTTTTGAACTATATGTTCTAAGTATACATAAATTTAAATTTAAACACTAGAAGTATCAAATAAGTGTGGTGCTTACAAATTTGTCTCTATTATTAGATATACTATGTGAATTCTTATGTCAGGAATATATTTATATACATAACTAATAATAAAAAATTTCATTAAAAAATACTAAGTTTATGTCACTAACTATGAAGTAAACATTGTCAACTAGTATAGTAAAATATAAATATCATTCTTAAACCATATTACTTAATTTCTTATAAGATAGCATAGATTTAACAATCATATGCATAAAATAAAATAATATGAAC